TGGTTAACACTGAGAATCCGTTTGCTATGGATTTGGTTTCCAATGAAATACAACCAATACTTCACTAACACTAGAGTACATGTGTTTCACAATTAATTAGATTTATTGATATAATTAAATATTGTATTATAATTAATTTAATTATATTAAACATTGAAAATAGCAATAATACTTTACGTACGTATTTAAATTATAATTGTAATTTATTGAGCTATTGACAAATTAATATGTAATTAAAATATAAAATTTATGTTTTACTTACTAATCTGATTATATAATATTATAATATATTTCCAGGGTCAATCAATAAGTACAGAATAACTATCAGAAAAAAATTTTCATAATAAATAATATTAAATATTTTGTACTTTTTGAATTCTAATAACATTATATAATGCACATATATATTTATTATTTAATGACCCCGATTGGATTAAATATTTAAGATTAAAAAGATTAAAAGAATTTCCTAAACACTCATCTCATATTCCGTTTCTCAGATATATGTTTGATCCTGCTATAATAATATTTTTAAAAAACTTTCTTGTTAATCCTTAAATTATGGCTTACTTCCCTTTCCCACAAAGTAATTTATATATTGTACATATTTATATATTGTCTATTGTACCATAGAATTGCCCCAAAACACTGTTCTACCTGGTGCTTTTAATCAACTTATTTTCTGATTTTATATGTTTTATAGTAAGTATGTGTAGATAAATATGAATAGTTCCAGTATTTTATTGCATTCAATACTATAGTAGTTTTATAAAATTTATTTTTTAAAATTTAAACCTTTTGTGTAAATATCTTGAAATTATATTATCAGAATTTGTTATATAGATATATTTTTAAAGTGTATTAAGGCAAATAATTAGTTTATTATAAAAGCACTTAGTTTCTAATCTATCTCGAAATTATTGCATTGATTATACAATAAACCATGTTCATTTTTGTAGCCAGTAATCAAAATATATACTTCAACTCTGCTTTCATAGGCTTGTTTTCATACAAAACAGTGTTACGCAGTCATATGAAAGCAGAGTTTAGCGATACGTTTTGAATACTGGGTCAAAAATGAAAATGAAAATTATTTAATTATGATAAAGAATATTAGCTAATATAATATAATAAAACAATTTGATCTATATATTAATATTTCAATAAAATTATCAAGCATTGTTTATTGTTTAATAAGTAAACTTTAATTTCATTGTATTCAAGTATAATTTATGTTAATATGCGGTAAGACAATTTCAATTTTAAAAGTTTTTAAATCTCTGTGCTGCAAACCAAAGGACACTTTCATATCTATTCATAATGTAAGCTAAAACTAATGTAGAGAACGTGCACTCATAGCAAACTAATGCATAAAAGTTGCTTCAAATGCTTTACAGTCATAGCGTGAGCAGAGTTGAAAGTGTCCTTTGGTTTGCAGCACAGAGATATGCTAATTATTTTAGGTTATGTTTGGTAGGCATCATGTAATATAATCAACGTTATTATATTTTTATTAAAACAAATTAAATTAATTAAAAATTTAAATTTTTGAATTAATGTGTAAATAGAGATTGACCTTGAACGAAATGAATTTTCATATACAATATATTTTTCGATGTTTAACAACATTTACGCGAATTAATTATTATTTTGAAATTATCACGGATACTAAACATTTGCAAAATGTTTTATATTTTTCGTTTTACTACTTGTTTGAAATTCCGGTATGAATTCCCAATATAAATAATTAATATGCACAGAGTACAATTGTAATTGTATTAGGTATGGTTGTGCCTGGTTATTTCACTATTTATTACTTCGAAATTTATTAAAATAATTTCAAAATACAAAAATAACTGGTTACTATTATTATTTGGATTCTTATTACAGAAGCCAGTGTACTCTTTGCACTCAAAGTTGCTTGTTCAAAAAATGAAGATTTCTGAAATTAAATTTAGTATCATAATTATTTTATTAGTAATATGGCTATTAAATTCGACTATTATGTGTAAATCATTTACTGGTTTATTATTAAAAACATATTTCAAGCACAAATACGTGCCAATGTACAATTCATTTGATGATATTAAAAATGACAAAAATGTACTTGTTACTGCTAAACTAAAATCGACAAATCAACTATTAAAAGGCGGAAATTATACAAAAATTGCAACAAAACTAAATGAATACCAGTCACATTTTAAATTTTCGTTTGACATTTTTAATAATCTATTTAATAAAGATTTATTTAACGATATGATCAAGGGAAAATCAGTAATAGTGTTTCCAACATTATACGCGCATCAATACCAAGAATATTATTGGCATTCAAGTAAATATTTTACGATAGCCAAGGACAAATATGTTAAACTATATTTTGGACACATGGTTTTTAAAAAACACCCTTATGCAACACAATTAAATAAAATGTTTGTATAATATTAATACTAATATTTAGTAAAAATGTGTAAGGGGAAAACTCACAAAAAGACTCATGCATAAAAAATAATTAAGTGTATCAAACTTTAGAGGTCTTTATACTTTCAACCGGCTCATATTATTAATTAGATGTAAATTTTAATTTAATTTATTTTAGGTTCAAATTAGCAACTGAATATGGACTGTATCGACATCATATTTTGCAAACAAATAGCTTACGAATGAGAAACATGGAAATTAATTATAATAATCATTTTGGTAGTAATAAATTACTGGCGATTGATATTTATGACATTTATAAAAATTCAATTAGTATTTTGCTTGCTGGCTCAACAATTTCAAGTGTATTATATATATTTGAATATTTATTGTTTCTGTTTAAAAATAATAATAATAAACAAGTAGATATTAGAAATAATTTTTAATAAACATATTTTAATAGCTTAAATTAAGTAATCTTGCAACAGGCAAAAGTAAAAATTATGTATTATGTAATAAGTTTATTTTAAAAATTGGTTTTTAAAAATAAATGCTTTTATTAAATAATTTATACACAACAAATTACTTATTCTTTTCAATCCAATCAAGGTACAGTGATAGTCTGACATAAACACCAGGGTAGCCTTTCAACGCGCATTTATTACCCCATGAGATCACCCCTAACTGAGTGGACCCCTGAGTGAGTGGACCACCTGAGTCACCCTGTTACATTAAATCAATTTTAATTAAAAAATCACTAAAATAAATTGACCATGATACCATACCCTACACGAGTCTTTCCCGCCCTCGGGAACTCCGGCGCATATCATCTCATCGGTGATTAACGTCCCGTAAGCACCCCTACACTCAGCCCTATCTACCAGGTGTACCGTAACTCTACGCAAATCTGGCGACCATTCCGGAGCACCTGTACGCAGATCACCCCAACCAGCGATGTCCACATCGAGACCTGATTTAGGGTCCGAGTCTCGGGCCGGTAGGTTCACAGCGGCTATGGTTTTGCCGTCAATAGGGATATCTTCGTTGACTTTAATGATAGCGATATCGTTGGCCTGGGATATACTGGGCTGGTATCCCGAGTGTGAGACAAATGATTGGACAGGTATCTTAACCCCTCCTGACGCATACTTGCTTGAGCCCACACGTACGTACAGCTCGGACGCCGTTTCACTGCAAATAATTAATTTTAGTATTTTTATATACAGGGTGTCCAACACATACCCCTTCAGACAGTGGGCGGCTGTGAGCACCGTTCGCTTATCGATGATAGAACCGCCGCAAAAGTGATCGTAAGAACCTATAGATGCTATCCAAGGAAAATCGGTTATTTGAGCCAGCTCACCACCTACAATATATGCCTCAGGGCTATGGACCCTGGAGGATTTACATTTGTGACCCGCATTTATGTGTATTATTAGTGAAAATAACAAAATAGTAGTTAAAGTCATATTATTAAAAGTTACTAGTATACATGTAGAAACTAACTATTTTTATTTAGTAGTGTTTATAAAGTGTTTTATTTACAAGTGTATAAGGGTTTCAAAATTATGTGGGAACTCTAGCAGACGTTTATAATTTATAACATTGTGCGTAAATATTATTAGGGTAGAGTACTATTGCGTTTTTTATTATGATCTATAAATAATTTGTCAAAATTCATGTGAAGCATATTTGATAATATGAAGGATTATGAGTATACGATAATCTTAATTGAAAACATATTTAACTAATTGTGATTTAAAATATGATTCATTTTTAGACAACTTTTTAATTCATACTTTTTTATTTTTACAACTGAATACGGTTTTCATTCTCGTTATGTATGACAAACAAATATTTTACAAAACAAATATGTCAATAATTATGTTGATGATTTATTAATAATTAAACTAACTGATTTTTATTAATCTATAAAAATTCGGTTATTATTTTCATTAAAGGTTTAACAATAATTGTAGAATTTATCTATAAAGTTTTAGTGTAAATAGACCTTATATTAACAAATTTTTGTCCTAGAACAATTACTGTAGGTATTAATAACTGTGCTCTGTATCCCATGAATGTTAATCTATGATATTAAGTCAATATTATTGACTATAATATAGTTAACAACAATAGCAATACCCAGTTGCTAAATAACACATAGTTATTTATTTACAATAATAATAGAAAATAGTTTTAAATTAATCTAATTATAAAAAACTATAATTAGTATTAAAATTCATAAATGATAAAATAGAAATTAATATTTTAAAAATAACTGCTTTTAATTATTTTAAACATAATCAATTATTTATTTTGTTCAATCCAATCAAGGTACAGTGAGTCTGACCATCAGTAATTATATTATGATTACATTTATTATTACAATTATGAGCAATATAATCTTAAATTCTAAGAAATCCTTATCTATAATATTAATGTTATAAATTGTGTACAATTTTGTCATTTTAATTATAGTACAGTACAATGTAATTATAAAATCTACACCAAACAGGCTATAAATTATAATAAGGGATAAAGTGTCTTATCCCCTAAAACGCACCTTACGGTAAACGTACTAGCTTAACTCTGAGGAATTGTTTCAAGTGAATAATAAATAATTAAAATGAATATTTGAATGTTTATATAAATATAAAGAAAATATACTAAATTTGGATTTATTTACTAAGTAATAAATTATAAATATTTTCAATCTTATTAATAAACTTAAAAGATATTTATATTATTTTTGTTTCATACTGTATGAATAAACTATATTTTTTTTAAAAACATTTATCAAATAATTTAGCAATAATTATTATGAGATTAATATTGAATTGGTCCCCGCAAAAAACTTACAAACATTTGTTTTTATAAGAATACTGTATATTAATTATTTCGCAACTATAATACACTATAGTACTAATGATAAATACATTAATCATATTCAGTATATTTTTATATAAATAATGTAAAAGCATAAACTAAATTAGTTGAAATTAATTAACTAGGATTGGATTTGAATGCGATGAGATAATTATGAATTACTAAGAACTTACATGAATATTGTTACAATTACTAAATTTCTCATTAATAATAAATATGAAAGTGTAAACTTATGAAAATTTAAATATTTCATAAACATTAGATTGTTAAATTATAAATTTAATACTAATGTGAATAATAATTCCTAAAATAGGCGTTCACTTCATTTTAAATTAACTTTCAAATCCAGATCTCATATTAATTTTAACTAATGTAAGTCTTACTGTACATAAAGTTGATTTAAATTTACTAATAATTCGCCTAATTTTATAATGTTTAATATAGTTTTTTGTGAGGTTTTAACTTTTTATTTTAAGAGAAACAGAGAGAGAGAGAGAGAGATTAGATGGTTGAGAGGAGCTAAACAGCTGCCTAAGCGGTGATTGGAGTCATTCATATAAAAATATATCAGGGCAATACAGCAATAGTTTATAATGACTGTAAAGCATTTGAAGCAACTTTTATGCATTAGTTTGCTATGAGTGCACGTTCTCTACATTAGTTTTAGCTTACATTATGAATAGATATGAAAGTATCCTTTGGTTTGCGGCACAGAGATATGTATAAACTGCTTATTTAGCATAAACTATCTAATATAGTGATAGGCTACTTAAGGTTAGGCTTTCCTGTAAATTTTATAAATTTTAAAATATACATATTAAATTAATTTATTTAACTTTACTTTGTCATTCAAATTTTTTGTAAATTGCAAGTTTAGACCCAAATTACATAATATATATTGCACTAACGCTAACCAATAACCAAATAATAATTCCTAAAATTATCCTTGTACTTTAAATCTGTAAATTAAAAAATATAAAAAATAATTTTACTTGCCATACCTGATCATAGTTTATATAAATCACTCCATTGTTTGTAACATTATGGTTGCATGTATAATTATATAAATATGAATAGTTTGTAAATTTTACAAGCTGATATAGATATGGTACTTTAAAATTAATTAAAGTGAACATATCATTAGCTTTGTAAAGAATTATTTACAATATTCTCAATCAAGCTTTAAATGACCAAGGAACAATATTAATAAATGATATGCATTACTAATGCAACATTAGGTATAGTTGCACTGAATAGTTAATGTAATTTTATTAATTATATTGTAATATGTAATTGCATAAATAAACAATTGTATATATACATTATATAATGCATTTTTAGATACGAATGTTTCAATTTATTTTATTAATTTATTGTTTATTTTAATTTATCCCACGTTTGCATCAAATAAACTATTAATAACATAATTAGTTAATGAATTTTACTGTCATGTATATAATTAATATTATTATGAAATATTATATTAATAACTAAATATATCAATAATATATATTCTTATAATAAATGATATTTCTTATTAAATAAATTTAATGTTTATTAAAGCATGACAATATTCAATTTTTTTATTAAATAAAAAAATAAATAATTATCAGAAGTAACAATATTATATAAATATAAGTAATAATATTATATATATATAAGTAATAATTAATTTTGTATTGTTAAAATATTGTTTCTTTATTAAATTATACTAATTTTAATTATTACAAAATAATATGCCAATTTTTATCGATCCTGTATTCATAATATGACGCTTACTATGTTGATTTACCAGAAACTTAGTTATTTTAACAAATAATGAATGGGTATGCATAACTCTATAACTCTAATAGAAATATTAGACATGCAATAAATAAGCCAATTATCAAGCAAATGATTGAATTTTTGTAAACTTCATAAATATTAATTGAACGATTTAAATTATTACCAAGATAATTTGTATCAATAGTGTTTCTATTTTCCATCCGCAAAATATTAGTCTGTAATAAATGATATTGATACAATCCGTTTTCAGTAACCACATTAAACCTAGTACCGTAGAAAAGTATTATTTAAAAGTTAAATAAGCAATATTCTAAATAAAATTTTAATTTAATAATTTTGCATACATTTTGTTTAATTTCTTTGAGTATGGGTGATAATTAATAACTAAATGACCAACGAACTTTTGTACATATTTGTGCGTCGCTATAGTAAAACCATTTCCACTATTAACATAATAGTTTTTATATTGTTGCGCATATAATGTAGGTAGCAATATAACCGATTTACCCTTGATCATATCTTGATGTAACATAATGTCAAATAAATTATCTGTTTGTTTAAACGTAAAGTTAAAATGTGCTTGATATTGTGTCTGTTTTTCCAATATGACTCTTAAATCAATTTTATTAGTGTAATGAATATACTCAATTAAAAATTTTCTAGCGGCAACAAGGACATTTTTATCATTATTAATATCGTCTAATGAATTGTATAGAGGAACATATTGAGTTTTAAAATATGTATTTAATAATAAGCCAGTAAGTGACCTACATGTTATTATAGATGTAATTAGCCAAATTGTTAGCAAAATGCTTAGACTTATTTTATGTGAGCAATTATATTTTTTAAAAGTAATTTTTTCCAATAAATTCATTGGTTGTTGAATTAAGTATCCAATTAATATAAACAGGGAAGATTTAAAATTTATTGTATTTTCAGTTAATAATTTAATTAGTGCTGCAATTAATAAGCTTGATACTGTAAGGTATACCCAAATCTAATAAAAATAAATAACTAATTTGTAAGTATAATCATATATTTTTAATTATTATAACTATATTAAAGTGTAAATGAACAGCATAAGTTTTTAAAAAAATTAAAATTACTATTTACCTCAAGATCAAATAAATAATAAAATGAAAAATAAGAAACATTTTGTAATATTTTTGTGGCCGTGATGATTTCAAACATATAAACTTGCTGGGTAGGTTGGGTAGGTGTCACCAAACTAGAAATGGTAAAATCCAAAACAGATTCTTGTAATGAAATACCCTGTTTAATTTGTGTGTTAAAAAATAATATTATAAATATCATATAAAATTTTTAAAAAATATATTATAATAGTATCATGCTCACAGTTAAAGACATATGGTCATTAAACTGCACATATAGCCCCAATTGGCATAGCATGTATTTTACTAATGATAACCGATAGCCATATAATTTATCCTGTGAAAAAATATATAATAAATTAGTAAAATAAAATTATTAGTATTAGTACTAGAAATAAATCACAGAATCATATTTTTTACACAAAAATTATATTTAATGTTACCTGTTGATGGCTAACAAAAATCATCTCATTATTAGTAACATTTTGATTACAGGTATAATTAACTGATCTTTTAATATTAATATATTTTACTAGCTGGTGCATATTTGATATTTCAAGTTTCATTAAAGCCGACATACTTTTATCAAGATTTTAAAGTCAAATAACGTTATTTTTATAAAAACCTTATTATTTTGACTAAATGCTAAATGTTCAAATATAATAACTATTGTACTTGACGTG